GTTTCCTATCATTTTTTGCCTTGTGGTATTCTGCTTGTGGTGTGATCTGTCTGTTTTGTGGTGTGGCATGATTGTGTTATTGGGTTTGTTTCTGTTGAAGGGGAAGTGATGTGTTGTGAGTGAAGACGTATTTTACCTCAGAATACAGCAGGTCCCATATGCAAATGACAATTCCAACTGTCTTGCGGGGGGGGGAGTTTGAGGTGTGGAATGGAGTGAAGTCCAATCAGCTTCCATATGCAAATGACCTTGAAATGCTGGCCCAATCAGAGAAGAGTGGGCTGAAGCGGCCCAGCTGTAGAAGCCCCGTCCCTGCACTCAGTCTGCAGATGGTCCTCTCCTGTCAGAGGCCCAGAGCAGACTGACCTGAACATTCTGGCCGGGGCTGACGTGGGCGGGACTACACAAAGCAGCCAGGCAACCCAGCCAGCGTCTTCTGACTGACAGTTCAAGCCTCCAAACACTGTTGGTGTGAATTGGAACGTTGGGCCCCACTACAGCTTTATATATAAGGGAGAGATAATTGCCTCAGCAATGCCTCAGTGACTGTAGCAGTCAATATTCAGAACAGCTGCTAATGCTTTGTAGAAATAAGAATCAGATCTAGACTTGCAAGATGGCTGTTTTACCAAAACTGCATGAGATTTACTTAACGTGAAACATCCCCTCTTGTTTTAAATGTGCTTCGTGTTAAGGGCACATTACATGCTCTCAGTTCAACATCTATTTGCTAAACCAAAGTGTAGAAAATAAACTGGGAACCTTAAAAAAAAAAAGAGGATGTTTTTATGTATTCAGGGTGACAGACCATGCTAATTCCATACATGATGCTAGAGAACTGAGTGGTATAGCCCTCAACTAATTAGATTTTTTATTTTTAAAAAGGCTAAAAGCAATTGGGCATGAAGCCATGGTGCAAGGCAAGAAACGTTTCATGGTACAAACTAAGCTTGATGGTGAATGGTATTGATGAATGTGTGGTTCCTATAGGCAATAAAGGCTTTAAAACAGACATAAAATTGGGGGGAATAATAATTTGGTTGAGGGACAGGAGTTTCTAATCCTTTCCCTGTCATTTTTGCCCCTAATTTAAATCACACATACTGGAACTCCTTTCCCTGTCATTTTTGCCCCTAATTGATTTAAATTAGGAGCTCCTACTTGCCCCATGGGAGAAAAAGTATAGGCACTTATGTATTTTCTTGTGTATTTTCCCCCATGGGACAAAGAAAGAAGATGTCTGTTCTAGGAGGTTCTCAAAATTGTGGGGTGTTCTGAAATAAATGTTCCCATTCTCAAGCTCAAAATTAGCTAGTTGCAAGGCAAAGCCAAAGGGAAGAAGAGGTACTTACTTGGACATCTTTTTGTGCTTTTGTTGCAGTTCTTGTTTCAGATCATCTAATGGCTGCACTTTCCCATGAGTCACTGCAGAGCACTTGGGGGACAGTGTGGCAAAAGCTTGTGAGTTCAAACATCCGCGTTTCAAGAACCTGCTGAGGGTCAAGTTCACCCAGGACTTGGGTGGCAGTTTGGTTTCGGAACTCACTGGATCCAGGGAGCAGGTACCTGATTCAGAATCCATGGAGATCTCAGTGCCTTCATTAATGGTAGGAAAGGGGTTAGAGCTGGTTCCATTAGTGTCCCAGTTCATATCCATTGGCAAGGTGCTTTCTAAAGCTACACTAATAGGAGAGGGGCAGCTGGGGCTGTTTGGCAGAGTAATGTGTTCAGGGCATTGAAGAGGAAGCTCATTCAGGGCATGGCAGGAGGGAGGAAAAGGCTTGGAAGGAGATGGATGATCAGAAGTACCAGTGTAAACAGCCAGGTGGGGAGCCGGAGCAGTAAACTGGCACAGCTGCAGGAAAGAAAAAAGAGCATTTACAGGACAGGAAACAGCATGGGATTCCTATGAAGCACTATGGCCAAAGCACAAAACTACTCCCTCATTTTTGGCCATGTCATTATTTACACCTGTCTGTTCTAGTCCAATACAGGTAAGTATGCAAGGACTTCCAGTCAACACAAGGTTCTTGCTGGGGCAGGATATCAACCAGCAAGAACCTTGTGTTGATACTTTGTTTGGAAGCAGAAGGAGTCAGATGGCCGAATTGAGAGTGTTTACCTTTAAGAGTGGCCTGGCAGAGAAATGGCATCTTATCTCCAGTGTTAAGTGAATGACTAGTCCAATACAGGGCTTCCCTCTGCCTTAAGGGAAAGAACTGGTCCCACTATAGATCCTACCGCTTACTGTTCTCCACTAAGAAAGACTATTTCTTGCCTTTGGCTCACATACAGCCAACTAGGAGTTACAAATGCAAAAACAGGGGGGGAGGGGATACACAGACAAAAGGTTAGAGTTAAAAATATTTTTATAGAAGAAGAGTGGGATTTTACACCCCACTTTTCTCTACCTTAAGGTGTCTCAAACACACCTTCTCTTCCCCTCCCCACAACAGGCACCTTGTGAGGTAGGTGGGGCTGAAAGAGTTCTGAGAGAACGATGACTGACCCAAGGTCACCCAGCAGATTCAGGTGGAGGAGTAGTGAATCAAACCTGATTCTCCAGATTAGAGTCCACCGCTCTTAACCACTGCACCATGCTGTATTATGTAATAAAAGCATGCAAAAACGCATTGTTACATTTTGTAACAATCTTGATGCAATAATGTTGTTGTTGTTGTTCAGTCACACAGTTGAGTCTGACTCTTTGTGACCCCATGGACCATATCACGCCAGGCCCTCCTGTCTTCCATCGTCCTCCAGAGTTTGCTTAATTTCATGTTCATTGCATCGATAACACTGTCTAACCATCTCATCCTTTGCCGTCCCCGTCTTCTTTGACCTTCAGTCTTTCCCAGTATCAGGGTCTTCTCCAGTGAGTGCTCCCTTCTCATTTGGTGGCCAAAGTATTTGAGCTTCAGCTTCAGTATCTGGCCTTCCAGGGAACAGTCAGGGTTGATTTCTTTTAGGATTGACTGATTTGATCTCCTTGCAGTCCAAGGGATGCAATAATAATTTAATACAATCTCAAAAGAGCTTTAAATTCACCATACAATTATATGGCTGAGCAAATATCTAAGCAAATATCCAAGCCATGATTTAAAAACAAACAAACTAGTGCAGTTCCATGAACATGTGAAGTGACCCTATACTGAATCAGACCCTTGGGCTGTCAAGGTTAATATTGCCTGTTCTGACTGGTAGTAGCTCTCCGGGATTTCAGGCAGAGGTCTTCCATATTACCTGAAGGTGCTAGTGGGCTGAGCGTGGGATTCTCTGCATGCAAAGCAGAAGTTTTGGCCCTTCCCAAATACGTAAAATGACCTATCCCATTGCCATTAATCATCCTCAGAAGCTTTCGGTGAATGACATTCTCTACATACCTTGCAATCTATTACAGCTGATGACAGGAAGAGGTGTTGCAGGAAAAGACTGCCACATATATGAGCAGTACATGCCAGAAGGGTAGATGGAGAGGTGGATGGGTGAGTGGGAGGATAGTGCAGTGTGTTCATAAAATGGATAGGTGTGTGGTAGGAAGGATGCTCTACTTCTACTGCAGCAATGGATTGCATTGAGTTCCTCGGTCCTATCTGTAAAAGTCTTGAGATAAAATTTGGATACAAAATGGCCATTGTTTCTGGCACAAGGCCGTCATCTTTGCCTCCTCACTCCTTCATCCCCTACGCAAAACTCAGCTGTGAAATTCAGCTCATAGGATCAAGGTATTTGTTTTTTTCTGATTTATTTATTTAAGTATTTGGACCCCACCTTTCAACTTGGCTCAAGATGGCTTATAGGTAACAGTTTAAAACATTACATTTTAAAACTAAATAAAACAAAACCCTTAAACACTCCTCTCCCCCTTCTAAAAGATGCCTGCTGTTCATACCTCCATCCAAAGCCCTGGCAAGCAAGCAACACTTGCAGTGACTCCTAAAAATCTCTAGCAAAGGGGTTCCCCTCACCTCCTCAGGGAACTCATTTCATACAGTGGGAGCTGTGATGGAAAAGGCCTGAGTTCTGGTTGATGCCAGGTGGGCCACCCTAGATAGAACAGCCAGAAAGTGGCACCCTGAAGACCAGTTGGTGCACAGAAACATATAGGAGGAACCAGTCCTTAACATATGTGGCCCCAGGCCATGAGTTTGCGAACAAACTGGAAGCCAATGTAGCTGTATATTCGCATCAACTTGTCCCTTAAAATAATTGGCCTGTTACATTCTGGATTAGATGCAATTTCCTGGTTGCCTTCATGCATAAACCAACATTATTGTAATCCAACTGCAAGGTTAGAAAAGCATGGCCAGATTGGCTGAGTTTAAGAATTCTCGCAATGCATACATATATCTCCTCTTCCGAATTCAAGTGCCAGATGAGCAAGTATTTATTTTCCTGAGTTTCTGATGACATTTAAAATTACAGTTCTGCTGGTTTGGTTTGGTTTCAATTTGGGGGATTTTCTCCCTCATTAGCTGTGCTGCTCTAATTTCATATTGCTTTCTACTTTCTAATAATTGTATTTGCTCTTCCCTCTTGATGCCTAATTCATTTACGATTTTTACTGCTTTAATTTTTTGGGGGTTGCTTCTCATTGCTGTTGCGTTATGTAGTTGCTATTGTTGGGTCATGGCGTTTGTTTTGTTATTTATGGCATTGTTTTTAGCATATTTTATAAAAAATCATCGTCTCTGAAGAATACAAAATAGAAATATTTTTTTAAATTAATTTAATTTGTGGGGTTGAGATTTAAGGGCATGGCTGCTGGTGTGGTGTTTTGAGGTTATTTTAATATGGTGCTTTAAAAATAACATATCTTCTAACAATATATCTGTTTTTAAATTCAATCATACTTCCATTGTTTAAGAAATCAATACCTATATTAAGGTCTGGGCAACAGTTGCTTTAGTAGATTAATGTTAAAAGCAGATGGTTAATCAACTAAATTTTTCATCAGTAGGCTGTCCTACTAAAAAAAACTCACCTTGTTTCCCTGAGTTGGTTGAGCTTTCTGATAAATTTACTAAATTTACTAATCATTCTTGTCATCCTCCTATGGATGTCATTTTTTCTTGAGGCAACTAGAACTGAGTAATCCCAGACATAGGCACACTGGCCCCGGTCACACGGGAGGCTTTGATCCGCGAGAGGGACGGATCAGGGGTGCATCAAGCGGGCGCGATCACACCGCAACATCTGGGAAATGGCGCACACCCGTCCCCGATCCGTCTCTTCCGGACGAAGATGCAGATCAAAAAACCACTACAAAACACTACTACTTACCAGAAAATCCGCAGCAGAGGCAGCCGTGTGATCACCAGCACACCCGTCTCCAGCAGCATGCAAGGCCCCCTGACAAACTGTGCAGGCGCACACATGCGCAGCGGGCTCACCTAGTTCACCCATCTATGGCTTCCCCCCGGCATCTGATCATGCCGGGGAGCAACTGCGCAGTGGCTCAGGGGATCTGTCTGATCCCGCCGCCATGCTTCTCTTTTTGATGCGGCTCAAAAAATCTGCACTTCAGCTGCACCTTTTCCCCCAGTGTGACGGGGGCCACTGTAACTGTTGGCTAAAAGACCTGGTTTCTTCTCAATCCTTTCTTAACAATTTATTTCATATTCACATGCTGTTTAATACAGCAGTCATCTGTGCCCAGTGGGCCACAGGTCTGTGCACACGACTGCTGTTTTACATTGTATTGTATTTATACACAAAATATGTGTTTCCCTAGATGCTTCTCCCCCTATTTTTTTAGGTTAAAAAATAACTTATATTGGGCATATTACACATCCAGATGTGTGTGCCTATTTCCATGCTGCCTGCTACAAACATATCACATTTCATTCATCTCATTCCTTTAAGGCAACAGCTTTTTAAAAAATGAGCATTTTAGTAGGGTATTAACATCTCATTCTTGTACCACCCATTCCAAACCCATCGATGAATCTAGACCTTAAATATATCACTTTACACTTGAATCTACCATTCTGTCAACCAGTCACTGTCTGTGGAGATATCCTGCACAGTCTACACTGGATTTTACTGTCCTGAATGTTTTGGCATCATCAAGAACACAAGTACAGATTTGGTAGATCAGACCAAGTCTGTAGCATCATGGTGATGATTTTCCATGTCCCTCTCCCTGCCAGTGCAAATGCATAAATATCTGAAGCAATAATGAAGCATCTGCATGGTAGTTTTCTCTACATTTTCCTTTCTGCAGCCACCTGTGCAGCCATTATGCCTTCCTACATCTCCAGAGGGCTTTTAAGCCTTTTGAAAAATCAGTAATTGAATCAGGAATTGACATACTGGCTGCGGTCACACTGGAGATGTCTATGGTGTGCCGGTTCAAATTGTTGCGGGAAGGACCGACCAGACAGCACACCCGGCAGTGGTTTTCCTGCGGGCTCATCCAGTGGTGAGGCATCCACATTACTGCAGTGCCTCAACCATGGAGTGCGCTGCCCGGTTGGTTTCTTTAAAAACAGGTGGGCACATGCACATATGCACTCATGCGCTTATGTGAATATCATCAGCTACTTTAAAAGATAATGGCAGAAACAGATCTGCCAGTTCAGACTTCCCATTCGGCTTCAGTTCACGACAGGGGAGTTCAAACGGCCAGAAAAGTGGAGTGGAAGCACTGGCATCGGTAAAGACTGGACTTTCCCCAGTGCCTGGTTACTCCACTTCTAAAGCGGGGCAAAACGGGGGGCCACGGCTGGGGCATGGAAGGCAGATGTCATTGTCTGATTATGCTTTTTAAAGTCGCAAAGGTACTGCAATGATATCACTGCAAACTGCACCTGTGACCACAAGCCACTGATATAACATTAAACTATAGGGATG